GAGAGGTTGTCGGAGCGAACGAGAAAGCTTTGAGAGCGGCAATTGAGCAGCACAAGTGAAAGATGGACCGGGTTAGGCGCAGAACAGAGCGGAGAATGAGTTGAGATTCGATTTACACCTCCCGTATTTAGATAATGTTGTGGTTCTTGAAGTTCGCACTCAGAGATCCCTAGTCAGACCCTCAATCATTAGGTCTAGTCGTTCCTTCCCTCCGGTGTTGAGCGCACCTGTAAGCGACATCCGCATCTCACAGAGCCGTCCTTAGTGGTAAAAGAGCAGCCTTTTCAAAATAATATAATCTTAATTCTGAGGTAGAGGCACGCTAGACCTGGGTTTCGGTGTGGACGCTCAGGTGAAAGCTATTTTCTAGTCACTGATACCTCTTCCAGTGATGTCAAGATTGATTGGAAGGAATGTACGAGATAGAGCACCAGGTTGCAAAAGTTTGTCAAGTAAATAGCTTGTGTTTGGCAAGATGGTGACCGGTATTTCTGCAACGAAGCACCATCCGCAACCCCCTCCCCCTGCTTCTCCGCGTTCAACGCGTAACTTGAAAATGTAAGTTGACGACTCCAAATCTGGAAACCGAGGTCGCATTTTCTGCTTCGCTAATGTACTATCGACCACCCCTTCTGGCCAAACACGCACAAGGATCGCCATAGCATCTGTCTCAATAGCTGTCAACATGCTTATCTTTGGATGCCTTTCCCATCTCTGATGTGATAATAAGCAGCAATGAAATGGAGGTCATCGCTTCTACGCCATTAAACGGCCTCCCCCCCCTAGACCGTCCACCGCCAACGGATCCGCTCGTGGTCCTTGAGCATCTGTCAGAAGTCCTTCAAATAACGTTAGGAGCAGCTAGGAGAGAGCTAGAAGCAGTGGGAAGCCTGTTGTCCAAGGCAAAGCAGGCCGACTCCATAGATCGATGCGCTAGATTTGCTTCTGAGGCGCAGGTGGCGCTCTACGCTCAAAAAGATATTATCGAGGAGGAACATCCTGGTGCACCAGACTCAGATACAGGTAGGTGACATTCATCCGTTTGTGGATCATCTGCTAAGAACCCCAGTTCCCGTGGAAAAGTATGCCTATACGATCTCGTCCGAATTGTCTTTTGCGTCCACAACTGTTGCCTCTGTGGCTTTCATCAAGAGACCGACACCGCTCGATGCTCGACTTCCTCTGCCCTCTCAACTTCAAGTTATCAACCTTCCTGGTCTGGCTTCACTGAAGCATTCGTCCCGAAATCCCGGAGCGTCTGTGTCACCCTTCGAGATACTTCACTCAATCGTACATTTCGCCTTAGCTCCCTGTTTCGATGCCTATGCCTCGACTCAAGATGTCACTCATGTTAGCAAGAGTCGCCCTGACTCCGAAGCAAAGGGTGGTGTGCCTGGAGCAAAGAAGAAGATTGCGGAATTGGAGATGAACCTGCTACATCTACAACAAAACATAGACATACCAGTGCTACATTTGCCGCTCCATGACCTCATTAGAGCAGCTCTCGCAGATGCCGCATCTCAAAATGCTAAGCCTTCGCTGGATTTTATTCCAAATGGCGCTCTGGAGAACAGCAAGGTGTTAAACAGCTTACACAATCACGCCAATGGCTGGATTAAGTCCATTCGGACGATTACAAAGATGTCTAGGGATGCAGAGTGTGACACGGCGGCCCAGGAGATCAATTTTTGGCTCTCAATGGAATCTGTTCTCGCCAACATCGAAGAACAGTTACGTAGTGACGGAGTGCAGCTGACCATGGATGCCCTTCGGCACGCGAAAAGATATGGAGCGACCCTAAGCTTCTCAGCCGACACTGGCCTGAAAGAAGCAATGGATCAGGTTCAAAAATACAACGTGCTCATGCACGATTTTCCACTGCCCGACCTGCTTACTGCGCCTTCCTTGGAGAAGGTTGAAGATGCGCTGAACACGATTTTCTCGCACCTCAACAGGAAGTTGAGAATAAGTTCATATCCAATACGGCGGACTCTGGCTCTCGTCGAGGCTATCTCTGGAGATCTTGATGCTCAAATACATCGCTTGCTGAATGGGCGCGTCATTATGCACCTTGATTACCAAGAATTTACCTCGGTAATGAAAGTCACAAAGTCCATCTGGAGGGCATGGGATGAAAATCTGAAGGAGTTCACCAATGTGGCGCGCGACGTTACTCGGAGGCGCAACGAGAAATTCATCCCGATCAAGGTCATTCCGAGACACTCTCTGACACAAGAGCGCTTGAAGTATATCAGCACATTCAGACATAACCATGAGCAACTTCAGAAGACCATACTAAGCGTACTTGGTCCTGAGACGTCCTCCTATTCACAGCTCCATGGGACGGTAAAGGGTAGCGCTGCTGCTACCACCGAAGAGATGGGCGATGTAAATGCCGTCAACGAGGTCTCGGAGGCATACGCTGCTATCAGAGACGTGGACGTGCTGGAAACGTCGGCTGAAGGCACTCGTCTCTGGGTGCAAGCAGAAGTGCAATACAACGAGCGGACTTCTCGCGTTGAGAACTCAATTATTGCTCGATTACGAGATCGATTAGCCACCGCCAAAACTGCCAACGAAATGTTTCGTGTCTTTTCTAAATTCAACGCTCTTTTAGTCCGTCCGAAAGTGCGTGGTGCTATTGGTGAGTACCAGGCTCAACTGTTGGAGAATGTAAAGCAGGACATCGCGGCCTTACAGGAGCGCTTTAAGCAACAATATAGCAACTCCGAAGCCTCGCTCATGTTTCAGTTGCGGGATCTTCCACCTGTTTCCGGATCCATAATCTGGGTTCGTCAGATTGAACGGCAGCTAGAGAGCTACATGAGAAGGGTAGAAGCAGTGCTGGGTGAGGACTGGGCACTCCATGCCGACGGTCAGAAATTGCAAACCGAGAGTAGTCTGTTTCGCAAAAAGCTCGATACTCGTCACCTATACGAATCTTGGGTGCACGACGTACAGACTCGTAAGCTTGCTATATCTGGCCGTCTCTTTACAATTATGCGTACTCGGGCCTCGGGTAACCTGTACGAATTGGGCGTTAACTTCGACACTCAGGTTATAGCTCTTTGCAAGGAAGTCAGGAATCTGTCCTGGCTAAATTTTCCGGTGCCACACTCCATCTCCACAATGTCAAAAGAAGCCAGCCGCGTCTATCCATACGCGGTCAGCATGATTGAGAGTGCTCGAAGCTATGTACAGACTACTCGTACGATATCTGGAATGTCTGAGGTGGCGCCACTGCTTGCTGGATACCAAAAGGAAGCCCAGGCGCTCATTGTCAAAGGATTGCCACTTCGATGGGAATCCCTTGTTCATTCGTACGAACTTGTCATGAAGCCAGCTGGTGACTTTGATGGAGCTCTGTCTGGCAAAGGTGAATCTGAACATGTGCAGTTTGTCAGGGATTTAGCTGTATCAGTCGAAACTCTGCACAACAAAACTTCTACCTTGGTTTCTATCAACGAAAAGATTCAAAGCGCAATTCTGGAACTCAAGAAGTGTGCTTTCGAATTTCCAAGCCTCTCTGCGACGCTTGAGTCGATACAGAACGCTATTGACAAGCTAAACCTGGAGAATTATGCAAATCTTGGTGACTGGGTAGAGCGGCTCAATATGCAGATTGAGCAGATACTTCAAGAAAGATTGGCAAAGGCCCTTGGTTCGTGGTCAGCAGCATTCAACTCTAACCGGTCCGAGGACCATATGCAAATGGAACAGGTGGACGGTATACGTCTCAACAAGACCGAAGAGCCTGTCGTCTTTCCTACCCTTTACCATGAACTGACCATGCAGAATCAAACCATTTATTTGGATCCCCCCCTTGAGTATGCCCGGGGTAGCTGGCTCGAGCATCTCGATTCATGGTTGAGCACGGTCTGCAATCTCGAGCGCATAAAATCATCAAGGTATCAATTGGCCACCGTCTCGCACGGTCAGGACGAATATCACAGCCGATTCACCTCTCTCGCCTTGAGCTGCGTACAAGATCTGCATGAGGCATATGGTATTGTAGATAAAACCGTTTCAATAATCTCCGACTATCTTAGGGACTGGTTCAGGTATCAGTCATTGTGGGACCTTCAATCTGATCAACTATTCGAAAGCCTTGGCGAAGACATTTCAAGTTGGCACCAAACGCTTCTGGAGATTCGACAAGCGCGATCAACGTTCGATACTTCCAGCCTTAAGAAAACCTTTGGTAACGTGACGATAGTTTATGACCAGGTGCAAACAAAGATTGCGGCCAAATATGATCAGTGGCAACGTGAAGTCGCTTCAAAGTTTGGTAGCAGACTTGGATTGCGGATGAGGGAAGTGCAGCATGATATCTCCCATTCCCGTAATGAACTCGAAGGTCAGGCTTTAGAAGCTTCGTCTACAGCCCAAGCTGTCGCCTTTATCACAACTGTGCAAATGTGTCGAAGGAAAGCCAAGGATTGGGAGCCTGAAGTGGAGACATTCCGACAGGGACAAACCACACTGAATCGTCAACGATACCAGTTTCCCAGCAACTGGATCTCCATTGACCAAATTAACCATGAATGGGAGGCATTCAAAGAGATACTGGCTCGCAAAAGCAAAGTCGTGGAGGATCAAACCGAAGCTTGGAGAGTTAAAATCACGGCAGAAGAACGGATGATCAAGTCTAGAATTGCAGGGACGATTGACCAATGGAATGAAGAGAAGCCTGTCTCGGGTGCGACTGAACCTGAGAAAGCATCCTCAGTGCTCGGATCCTTCCGATCCAGATTCGAGAAACTACAAAGGGAATCTGAGATGGTGTCAAAGGCAAAAGAATCCTTAGATATTCCGGGTAGTCCCGAGACGACCCTTGCGGGTGTTCTTGAAGAAGTGCATGACTTCATAGCTGTCTGGTCTGCTCTCTCCAATATCTGGCAGAGCATCGATGAGCTTAAAGTGACACCGTGGGCTAGCGTTCAGACCCGAAAGCTGCGTCAGTCCATTGAGAGTCTTGTCAAAGTGGCCAAGGATATGCCGAGCAGAATGCGTCAGTACGCAGCCTTTGAACATGTGCAGAGTGTGCTCAGGCAGCTGCTGAAAGCAAACCCTCTTCTTTCTGATCTGAAGTCCGAAGCCATGCGAGAACGACACTGGATCAAAATCTTCAAGATGCTGAAGCCTGGTAAGCGCTACTCTGAAGTGTCATTGACACTCGGAGATGTCTGGGACCTGCAGCTCATCAGCACTGAGACGGTTGTCAAGGATATCATCGTTCAGGCCCGTGGAGAGATGGCGCTTGAGGAGTTCGTAAAGCAGGTTCGCGATACATGGCAGAACTATGCGCTGGAGCTTGTAAGTTACCAAAATAAATGTCGACTCATCCGTGGCTGGGATGATCTTTTTAGCAAATGCAGCGAGAACCTCAACTCGCTGCAAGCAATGCGTCACTCACCATACTACAAAGAGTTCGAGGAGGAAGCGTCTTCGTGGGAGGACAAGTTGAACCGCATTCACGTGCTTTTCGATGTCTGGATCGATGTGCAAAGGCAGTGGGTTTACCTCGAGGGTGTCTTTTCTGGCAACACAGATATCAAACATCTTCTGCCCACCGAGTCCATGCGTTTTCAGAACATTAACACAGAGTTCTTTGCCGTGATGAAGAAAGTGTACAAGTCGCCCTTCGTCTTAGACGTCCTCACCATACCAGGCGTGCAAAAATCTCTTGAGAGATTGGCAGACCTCCTCAGCAAAATTCAGAAAGCCTTGGGAGAATATCTCGAACGGGAAAGGGTGTCATTCCCTCGCTTCTACTTCGTGGGGGACGAGGATTTGCTTGAGATGATAGGCAACGGCAACGACACAGCTCGCGTAGCGAAGCACTTCAACAAGATGTTCGCAGGAATTTCGGGCCTAATTGTGGATGACAACAACACGATCATCGGCATTACTTCAAGAGAAGGCGAAACCCTGACATTAAGGAAGGGAGTGTCACTCATAAAGTTCCCAAGGATAAATGACTGGCTTGCTGCATTGGAAAATAACGTCAGGCTCACACTTGCGGAGATGCTCGTGGAAGCAGTTGCGCAATTTGAGCCATTCATGACTGGGTCGGTAGAAACTACCCTCTTCGAAGGATATTTAGCTGCTTATCCAGCCCAGTTGGTTGTACTAGGAACTCAAGTCACATGGACGATGCTAGTTCAACGGGCTCTCGAACGAGGTGGAACAAGCCTTACAAGCATCTACGACTCAGAGATTCACATTCTCAATCTCATAGCTGCTACAGTGCTCAGAGACCTTGATTCCATTACACGCAGAAAGTGTGAGCACCTGATTACCGAATTCGTGCACCAACGCGACGTTTTAGCAAAATTGATCGCGGCGAAAGCTTCATCGCCCGATCATTATCTCTGGCTTTTGCAAATGCGATACATCTATAGCGCAGAAGTCCCTGAACCCCTTCAGCGGTTACAGGTCCATATGGCTAACGCGAAATTAAGTTATGGCTATGAATACTTGGGGGTTCCTGACCGTCTTGTCCGAACGCCACTTACCGACCGTTGTTTCTTGACTTTGACACAAGCCCTGTGCCAACGTTTGGGAGGCTCTCCTTATGGTCCAGCGGGAACAGGTAAAACAGAGTCCGTAAAAGCTTTGGGATTGCAATTAGGAAGGTTTACCCTCGTCTTCTGTTGTGACGATACCTTTGACTTCCAGGCGATGGGCCGGATTTTCCTTGGTATCTGTCAGGTCGGCGCCTGGGGCTGTTTCGATGAGTTTAACAGGCTCGAGGAGAGGATTCTGTCAGCCGTGTCGCAGCAGATTCAGAATATACAGATTGGTCTTAGGCATGGCGATGACGAGCAAAATGCTCAGATTGAGCTCGTTGGACGACGACTCCGAGTCAACTCGGACACTGGCATCTTCATCACGATGAATCCAGGATATGCCGGACGATCCAATCTGCCGGACAACCTGAAGAAATTGTTTAGAAGTGTTGCGATGTCCAAGCCTGACAAAGAGCTCATTGCAGAAGTCATGTTGTTCTCCCAGGGCTTCAAGCAAGCAAAGGCGCTCTCGAAGCAGACTGTGCCCTTCTTTGATCACTGCTCATCGCAACTCACAAGACAAGCTCATTATGACTTCGGCCTGCGAGCGCTGAAAAGTGTACTTGTTAGCTCTGGAGGACTGAAAAGAGCCAGAATTACCGCTCCTTCGAGGCAGTTGGATCCAGACGATGCAGCTATCGAGTCTCAAATCATTGTTCAGAGTATTCGTGAGACCATAGCTCCCAAGCTCATCCGAGACGACGTCGAAACCTTGCTGAACATACAAGAGGAAGACTTCCCAGGCATTGAGTACATCGCTGCCGAGACTGGACAGCTGGATGCTGCCATTCAGAGAATCGCAAAAGAACAAAACTTCTTAACAACGGACGCATGGATGACAAAGATCCTTCAACTGAATCAGATACAAAAGATCCACCACGGCGTGATGATGGTGGGCAGTTCAGGGTCTGGTAAGTCTTCCATCTGGAAAGTGCTTCTGCAAGCCCTGCAAGTGGTTGAAGGCACAGAAGGAGTTTCGCATATCATCGATTCAAAGGTAATGTCAAAGGAGGCTCTATATGGCAGCCTTGACAGCACGACTCGAGAATGGACAGATGGCCTTTTCACTGGCATTATCCGGAAGATTGTCGACAACCTCCGCGGAGAAGATGCTAAGAGACACTGGATCGTCTTCGATGGAGATGTTGATCCTGAATGGGTGGAAAACCTGAACAGTGTTCTTGACGATAACAAGCTCCTGACTCTTCCCAATGGAGAACGTCTTAGCATTCCGTCTAATGTCCGCATCATGTTTGAAGTCGAGACTTTGAAATACGCCACTCTCGCGACAGTCAGTCGTTGCGGTATGGTCTGGTTTAGCGACGATACCGTAACATCGAACATGATCATCGATAATTATCTCGAAGGTTTGAAAATTAAAACCTTTGAAGATCTTGATGAGGACACGGCAAATGCCGGCACGGCATCCACAGCCACCAGCAGTTCTCAGACAGAGTTGATCGATATGCTCAGGAAGATCGTGCTTCGAAACGACTTCCTCTTGCAAGCCCTTGAAGTAGCACGAAATTACTCGCACATCATGGAGTTTACAGACATTCGAGCACTCAACAGCCTGTTTGGTCTTCTGAGTAAAGTCTGCCGGACAGTGCTCGAGTATAACATTCAGCACAATGAGTTTCCTTTGGATGTGGAGCAGATGGAAGCATTTATCTCTCGGAAGATGCTGCTCGCTGTAGTCTGGGCCTTCTCTGGCGACTGTCCATTTCCAGAGAGAAAAGCCTTTGGTGACTACGTTGGAGCCCTCTCCAACGTTGACCTTCCTCCCATGGCAGAGGCAGCCTCCTTGATAGATTTCGACGTGACATTGCCACAGGCACAATGGACAACATGGCTGGCCCAAGTTCCCACGGTGGAGGTCAATACCCATTCTGTAACCCGAACAGATCTCATCATTCCTACACTGGATACCATTCGGCATGAACACATCCTCTACTCGTGGCTTGCTGAGCATAAGCCGCTAATGCTATGCGGTCCACCAGGCTCAGGCAAGACAATGACATTATTCAGCGCGTTACGAAAGCTTCCCAATATGGAAGTCGTTGGTCTGAATTTCTCCAGCGCGACGACTCCTGAACTGCTCATCAAGACATTCGACCAGTATTGTGAGTATCGAAAGACGCTGAACGGAGTCGTTCTGTCACCTACCCAAATTGGCCGGTGGCTTGTTGTCTTCTGTGATGAGATCAATTTGCCTTCTCCAGATCGCTATGGCACGCAGCGAGCCATTTCGTTCCTCCGTCAGCTTGTAGAGCAGAACGGATTCTGGAAGACGTCAGACAAAACGTGGGTGACTTTAGACAGAATTCAGTTCGTGGGAGCCTGCAATCCGCCAACCGATGCGGGTCGTCATCCGCTAGGAGCACGATTCCTGCGACATGCACCTCTCATAATGGTAGATTATCCTGGAGAACTATCTTTGAGCCAGATATATGGTACGTTCAACACTGCTATTCTGAAGATCATTCCTCTACTCCGGGGCTATTCAGGCGCCTTGACCAAAGCCATGGTACAATTCTATTCAGAGTCACAAGCAAGATTCAGTGCTAAAATTCAACCTCACTATGTATACTCACCTCGTGAATTGACTCGATGGGTGCGTGGTGTCTATGAGGCCATCAGGCCTCTGGACAGTCTATCAATTGAAGGCTTGGTACGAATTTGGGCTCACGAAGCTCTAAGGCTGTTCCAAGATCGGCTGGTTCTGGAGGAAGAGCGAATCTGGACGGCTGACTTGGTGCGAAGGGTAGCTCTGGAACATTTCCCGACTGTAGATGTAGAGGTTGCCCTGCAGGTTCCGATTCTCTTCTCGAATTGGCTTTCCAGAAATTATGTCTCCGTCGATCAAGAGCAGCTTCGTGAATTTGTCAAAGCTCGACTCAAGACTTTCTGTGAGGAAGAAGTCGATGTGCCATTGGTCCTTTTCAACGATGTCCTTGAGCACGCACTGCGCATCGACCGAGTCTTCCGACAGCCACAGGGGCATCTGATATTGATTGGAGTGAGTGGCAGTGGGAAGACAACACTTGCTCGCTTTGTTGCTTGGATGAACGGCTTCAAGATCTTTCAAATCAAGGTCCATGGCAATTATTCTGCGGAAGATTTTGACGAGGACCTGAGAGGCGTGTTGCGGGCCTGCGGTTGCAGAGGCGAGAAGATATGCTTCATTATGGACGAATCGAATGTCCTAGACTCGGGATTTTTGGAAAGAATGAACACGCTGCTTGCTAACGGTGAAGTCCCCGGTTTGTTCGAGGGAGATGAGCATTCCTCCCTCATGACAGCCTGTAAAGAGGGTGCCCAAAGACAAGGCTTACTCCTTGACTCCCAGGAAGAGCTGTATAAATGGTTCACGCAACAAATCGTGAAGAATCTTCATGTGGTCTTCACCATGAATCCACCTCAAGAAGGCCTTTCCTCCAAGGCTGCCACCAGTCCAGCCTTGTTCAACCGCTGCGTGCTGAACTGGATGGGCGATTGGTCAGATCAGGCGTTCTATCAAGTCGGGCTAGAGCTCACGCAATCCATGGATCTCGATAAGCAAGGCTTCACGGCACCAGACAGTATACCTCTAGCCTGTCGTAACCTTTCGTTGCCTGCTTCACACAGGGACGCTATCATCAATGCAATGGTCTATGTCCATTACTCCATCCACCGTTTGAACGCGCGGATGGAAAGACAACATGGAAGAGTCACATACTTGACACCTCGTCATTATATTGATTTTGTCTCACATTATGTCCGACTATTCAATGAGAAGCGTGAGAGTCTCGAAGAGGAACAACGACATCTGAATGTGGGCCTTGAGAAGCTCCGAGACACCGTCGACAAAGTTCGGGATCTTAGAGCAAGTCTTGCCGAGAAGAAAGAGCAGTTGGAGAGAAAAGATGCAGAAGCCAATGAGAAATTGCAGCGCATGATCGCCGACCAACGAGAAGCCGAAACACGGAAGAGAGCTTCGCTCGAGATCCAAACCGCTTTAGAAAAGCACGACAGGGAGGTTGCGCAGCGACGAGAGATTGTGGAAAATGACCTAGCGAAAGCCGAGCCCGCTGTCCTCGAAGCCCAGCGAAGTGTAAGCAACATCAAGCGGCAGCACCTTACAGAGGTTAGGTCAATGGGAAACCCTCCAGCCGGTGTCAAGCTTGCTCTCGAGTCTGTCTGCACATTGCTTGGCCATCGTGCTGATAGCTGGAAAACCATACAAGGAATCGTGCGTCGTGATGATTTTATAGCAAGCATAGTCAATTATGACAACGAGCATCAGATGACACCAAATCTGCGCAGAAGGATGAGAAACGACTATCTTTCGAACGAAGATTTCACCTACGAGCGAGTCAATCGAGCCAGTAAAGCCTGTGGACCGCTTGTTCAATGGGTTCAAGCACAGGTAGACTTCTCCGAAATCTTGGATCGTGTTGGTCCACTTCGCGAAGAGGTCGCTCAGCTTGAGGAACAGGCACTGCAAACGAAAGCTGAAGCGAAGGCTATTGAGAACACCATCACGAAGCTGGAAGAGAGTATCTCCACCTACAAGTCAGAATATGCCGCACTGATCAGCGAGACTCAGTCCATCAAAACAGAGATGGCTCGGGTACAGTCCAAGGTGTCTCGAAGCGTCAGCTTACTGAACAGCCTGTCTCAAGAGCGCATGCGTTGGGAAGGTGGCAGCAAGTCATTCGAAACACAAATAAAGACCTTGATTGGCGACGTCCTCATCGCTGCTGCTTTCCTAGCATATGCAGGTTTCTATGACCAGAACGACCGGAGGGGCATGGTGGCCGACTGGCTGAATCACCTATCGCTATCAGGGATCGCATGCAAGCCCAATAATCCGGTCACAGAATACCTCTCTAATGCGGATGAACGACTACGGTGGCAGGAAAATTCGCTACCTGTGGATGACCTGTGTACTGAGAACGCTGTTATCCTTCAGCGCTTCAATCGGTATCCTCTTATCATTGACCCGTCTGGTCGGACAACCGAGTTCCTGCGCAGAGAGAACAAGGATCGGAAGCTGACGGTGACAAGTTTCCTTGATGCCACGTTTATCAAACAGCTGGAGAGTGCCCTCAGATTCGGCAACTCAATCCTGATCCAGGACGCTGAGCATATGGACCCAATTCTAAACCACGTCCTCAACAAGGAGTATCAGAAAACCGGTGGTAGAGTCCTTATCCAACTTGGCAAACAAGAGATTGATTTTTCGCCGGCTTTCAAGCTCTATATGTCCACCAGAGATCCTTCAGCTGCATTTCCACCAGACATTTGCAGCCGCGCAACATTCGTAAATTTTACCATCACTCGAAGCAGCCTGCGAACGCAATCACTCGACGGAATTTTGAAGGCGGAACGTCCTGAAGTTGACCACAGGCGGTCCAGTCTCATCAAGCTGCAAGGTGAATTTACTGCAAATCTGCGACAGCTCGAACGGAAACTACTGCAAGCCCTGAATGAATCTCGGGGAAACATACTAGATGACGACCACGTCATTGAAACACTTGAGACGCTGAAAAAGGAAGCCACGGAGATCTCCAAGAAGATGATAGAAACCGAGGGGGTCATGGCTGAGGTAGACAGTATCACTCGTGAGTATAGCGGAATCGCCAACGCGTGCAGCGCCATCTTTGCCGTTCTCGAGCAGCTCTATCAGCTCAACCACTCCTATCAATTCTCCCTGCAGTACTTCCTCGATATCTTCAACTTCGTGCTCCACGACATGATGAAGTTGTCCGCTGAGACAAATCTGTCGAAGAGAGGCGAGATCATCCTGCGAAATATCTTCATTGAAACTTACCGTCGCACATCGATGTCCTTGCTTCAAAAGGATTGCGTCACTCTGGCCATGCTTTTAGCCCGAGCGTCACCGTACAAGCTGGATCGCGCGGTTCTAGATGTCGTGCTAGACCAGCGTATTACCGGTTCAGACATCTCCACTACACCAGAGCAACGCTCCGAGGTCTTGTCTTCAGTCTCGCACATCCCCTTGGTCAAAGAACGTCTTTCGGGTGTAACCGAACAAGAATGGGCCAGACTGGCGACAGAGGAACATGCGGAGCATGCTGTACCCGCCATCTGGGGCTCTGATGCAACAGCCGTAGACCAGCGACTTTGGTCTATGCTAATTGTCAGGCTCCTGAGGCTTGATCGTGTCATCCCAGCAGCAGAGGAATTCGTCGCGACAATCTTCGGGCAGGGGTTCTTTGATAATGTTGACGACCTCGGCACGGTTGTCAAGCAGGTCACAGCTCCTACACCAATCGCTTTGAGTTCAAGTCCAGGCTTTGATGCAAGCTACAAGGTCGATGGACTGGTGGTGGCAACCCGTTCAATCTGCGCAAGCATTGCCATGGGTTCAAGTGAAGGCGCAGCGAGCGCCGACAAAGCCATCAGTAACGCTGCTGCCAACGGCACTTGGGTTCTGGTAAAGAATGTGCATCTGGCACCTCAGTGGCTGCAGAGTTTGGAGAAGCGGCTGACCTCACTGAAGCCACACGCTGACTTCCGATTGTTCCTGTCGATGGAATCAAGCCCCAAGATACCAGCCAATTTAATTAGAGCCTCCAGAATCCTAAAATACGAGCAGCCTGCAGGCATCCGGGGTAATATGAAAGACTCGATCTCGTCGCTGTCGGTCCGAGCAAGCAGACCGCCGGTTGAGAAGGCCAGAGTTTACTTCTTGCTTTCCTTTTTGCATGCTGTCATCCAGGAACGGCTACGCTATGCCCCAACGCTTGGATGGAAGGGCTTTTGGGAGTTCAATGATAGTGATGTAAGTTCTCGATCCCATTCCCGAAGATCTACACACTTGGCTAATCAGCTTGTAGTATGAATGCTGTGCTGTCATAATAGATACGTGGATTGACATAGTTGCTCAGGGCAGATCCAATGTTCCGCCTGCGAAGCTGCCCTGGGATCTACTGCGCACGCTTGTTACTGAGATGTATGGGGGAAAGATCGACGATGAAAGCGATTTCGATCTGTTGGGACAGCTTGTTTCCAAAGTCCTCGATCCTGCTGCGTTTGAGGACGACCATAAACTTGCCGAAGGCGGAGAGGGTGATGAGGGCCTCACAGCTCCGAGTGGGCGGACCATACAGGATTTCTCTGCATGGGTTACCAAGTTGCCTGAACGGGAGCCGCCAACATATTTGGGCTTGCCGCCGAATGCAGAAAAGCTTTTGCTTGTTGGACAGGGCCAGAGAATGATTGCGGATCTAGAGAAGATTTCTGATTTGCTGGATGAGGAGGAGCAATTGGCGGCTGATGCTGCATAGTCAATGGTGTTGGAGTCCGAACTGTTCGCTCAAATTTGTGTTGCATTGCGACTGGAGTGTGGCATGCTGGCGTGGGAGGGATTATTTGTAGGCCTGTTGGCGTTGGCGGATTATTGGAAGCATATACCCCCGGCCTGCATGGTCACTAGCATGATGTTTCGATTAAAGAACCCGTCAGTGAGTTGCAGGAATTTCAGGTTGATTCAAGACCAAAGTTCCAAGCGCTCGTGCTCCTGGTCGCTGTCTTCCAGGAGTCAGTATTCTGGGCAGCAGCTATACCCGAGACCTCTCGTGAATACCTGCCATTATCAATGCCCGCAACGTCTCTGGATGTTGACCAGAGGACAACTCTGTCCAGAGCCCCATGTCTGTCTGCGCTGGTTCAAGATATGCAGGTCGGAACGGTATATCTCTAGTCCACTTGGTGTCTCTAGGTACGTTATGCAATTAAGCACGGCACACACATTTGGACGTTGTCACCGGAATGGACACCACAGCTCATTGATCGCCCTCTCTGCATCTCCACATACTTTTGAAACTGCTTGTCAAGGATGAATGATGCCGTACCAATCTCCGCTACACCACAAGTTCCCTTCGAAACTGCTACTTCCTTGGTCTCCTCCCAGAACGACGGGGTGCCTCCACGATTACACAGTCATCATTCGCCGAGATATAAGGAAATGTCCATGCCGATGACCATTTCGATAACGGTGAACCCTGTTGCTCTCATCACGACAGAATGTGTCACCATAACCTCCGCGATGCGAAAGCATGGGCGGCCCGGGCAGTCGTCAGTGTCAGCTATTCTTGGAGGCGGGAGTCGGAGGACACAGGGCGTAGAGCGTGCAAGACCGTCTTCAAGAAGCCGTTTGTCTGTGGAGCAGAAGAGGATACCAAGCATACCTGACCCTGGTGCAACTTCATTGAACGGCGGCGACCACACCCTTGCTGGTCGATGGGGCCTACGTGGCCAAAGAGGGAAGAGTCAGCAAGACAATCCGTTAATGTCCGCGTTTGCTCAGCTCAGGAGCGATTTGGCAGGATGCAAGGACATACAGTCCTTCGATGCGCCAGCACTACTACATCCATTTCTACAGGTGATTCGCTCGTCGTCCACCTCTGCCGCTATCACTTCGTTGGCTGTCATCGCGATTACAAAGTTCTTCGCGTACAACCTCATCACTTTGGAGTCCCCCAGAATCGCCTTAGCTATGCAGTTACTCTCTGCGGCGATTACTCACTGCCGCTTCGAAGCGAGTGATTCATCCGCTGATGAGATTGTGCTTCTCCGAATCTTGAAGCTTATGGAAAGTATGTTGTCAAGACCAGAAGGTCACGTGCTTGGTGACGAGAACGTCTGCGAAATGATGGAGACTGGTCTGAGTATGTGCTGTCAATCACGGTTGTCAGAAGTACTGCGTAGGTCAGCAGAAATTGCGATGATATCTATGTGTCAGGTCATCTTTGGGCGTCTGAAAGCGATTGATGGAGAGAGCGAGTCATTAGGACAGGAGAAAATAGCTTCTGTCCTGGTCGCGTCATCTGACGGTGTCAAGATGGACCCTTCCGTCAACGGCGACTCCGTGGTTTCCCCACGCAACACAAGGTCAGATGGAGGTGTTAGCGATGATGAGACGCCCCAGAGGCGGGCGGATGACGACCAGCCAGAGCCAGAGGCGGCAGCATCTGCTCAAGATGCTGATTTTGCGATGATCGTGGCCAAGCCATACTCGCTGCCCTCAATTAGAGAGCTGTTCCGAGCACTCATTGACCTTTTAGATCCTCATAATCGACAACACACTGACACCATGAGGATAATGGCTTTGAGAATAATCGACGTTGTACTGGAAGTGGCTGGGCCGTCAATTGCGAAGCACTCAAGGCTGTCCCAGCTGGCAAAAGACGACCTTTGCAGACATCTCTTCCAGCTAGTCAGATCGGAAAACATGCTTCTTCTCAATGGTTCGCTCAGGGTGGCGGGAACTCTTCTTCAGACATGTCGAGAAGTCCTAAAGCTGCAGCAGGAACTCTTTTTGTCTTATCTCGTTGCTTGCTTACATCCAAGGGTTGATATTCCGCAAGAGCCAGGTATCGATCCAGCTTTATATGAAGGGGTTCCTCAAGCTCCCAAGCTCGTCAAACCACCTCCGTCGCAGGCTAGCAGTGGGCGATCAACACCTGTACCTGTCAAAGACCGCCAAAAGCTCGGCTTGGAAGGCGGCTCACGACGGCCTGACGCGCGAGAATCCATGGTCGAAAGCATAGGCGCTCTGGTACGCATGCCATCGTTTATGGCAGAGCTCTTTGTGAACTACGATTGCGAAGTCGATCGAGCCGACCTATGTGAAGACATGGTTGGACTGCTCTCGCGAAATGCATTTCCAGATTCGGCCACCTGGAGTACAACCAATGTTCCGCCTTTGTGCTTAGACGCCTTACTGGGCTTCGTCCAATCTATGGCTGAGAGACTTGAACAGCCAGCACCTCCTCGAGACCGACCAGATCTCGTAAGGCTAAGAAAACAGAGGGAACGGAAGAAGATCATCATACTTGGAGCGATGAAGTTCAATGAGAGCCCCAAGGCTGGCATTGCTTACCTTGCCTCGAACAGCATCATCAAAGATCCAGACGATCCTCTACAAATAGCGCAATTCTTCAGGGGCACGGCTCGAGTATCAAAGAGAGTACTGGGAGATTTTCTCTCAAAGAAGTCTAGTGAACATATTCTGAAAGCATATATGAGTTTATTTGATTTTAAAGGGAAACGCATCGATGAAGCGCTTCGAACGTTGCTTGGATCGTTTCGCCTGCCAGGGGAATCTCAATTAATTGAGCGTATCGTTACGGTATTCACGGAGCAGTACTGCTCGAGTACAGAGTCGAGTGTGGTGGCAGACAAGGATGCAGCCTTCGTCCTTACGTACGGCATCATCATGCTCAATACCGACCTGTATAATCCTAATGTGAAGAAACAAAGTCGAATGTCGTACCTTGATTTTGCCAAAAATCTTCGCGGCGTCAACGCGGGCAAGGACTTCGACCCTCAGTACCTGCAGGATATATATGATTCTATCAAGCACAGCGAGATCATTCTACCCGACGAGCACGACAACAAGCATGCCTTTGACTACGCTTGGAAAGAACTGCTAATGAAGGCCGGGAGTGTTGGCGACCTTGCGATCTGTGATACAAATGCCTACGATGCTGATATGCTCGCAGCCACTTGGAAGCCGATCGTAGCTACGCTGTGCTATGTCTTTATGCAAGCTTCGGATGACGTAGTGTATTCTCGAGTTGTTAACGGCTTTGATCAATGCGCCCAATTAGCCGCCCGTTATGGCCTTACCGAAGCATTTGATCGCATCGTACACAGCTTGTGCACTATCAGTACCCTCACGACTGAAAAGACCACTGCGCTCAACACAGAAGTACAGGCGGGCAAGAAGACTGTTATGGTCAGTGAGCTTGCCGTTCACTTTGGTCGAGACTTCAGAGCCCAACTGGCAACCGTTCTTCTGTTCAGGATCTTGCACGGCAACGAAGGAGTGCTCAGAGACAGCTGGATTCATCTCATCAAGGTACTTGTAAATTTATTCGTCAATCGGTTGATACAGTTTCCACCGGGGACCATGCCTTTGATCGACCTTCCTCCAATCCCGCTTCAACCACCGTCGCAAGTCATCGATCGTGATGGCCGCATGAACGACAGCGGCATCCTTTCTGCCTTCACCTCCTACCTGTCGAGCTATGCTGCTGGTGATCCGCCCGAGCCAACCGACGAGGAGCTGGAAAACACTCTGTGCACTGTTGATTGCATCAAAGCATGCGAGACGGATGGAGTTCTCTTTAACATCCTCGCGCTTCCTGCGAAGCTCGTTTCACCTCTTGTGAATCTGATCCTCTCGCAATTGCCAGACGAGTCGTCTCCAATCGTAATCGTGAAACCAGATAGGCCCCCTCCTCCTTCTCAACCAAATGGACACGGCCCAATTCAAACCGGTCCAGTCTACAATCCAGGCATGGTCTTCCTATTAGAACTTGCGACGAAGATTGTATTAAGGGATCAATCTACAGTCAGTGCCGCTGGGGAGAGCCTTACTGCATGTCTACAAACGCTTGTTAGAGATGCTGCTAATTTGCACCCTCTTGCTGCCGTACGAGTTGTCCATTACCTGCTTCGTCTGCTCCAAGCTAGCTATGTAAGTGTTATCCATTCCCAGATGTGCGTGCCACTAACGGACCAAGGAACATGACTTCATGCGTACACCAGTGGTACTTCATGCTATCTCGAGTTTTGATGATGGCACAATCGACCACACGGCTGTCTCTGTAGTCCCGGGTCTTTCGCAGATCGTTTCCTCGCCGGAGCCCTTGAAGAATGAGCTTGCAAATTCTCCAGATTTTTGGTCAATATTGCAGAGGTTACACCGTCACAAGGACGAGTCACAGAATGTTTTCGACATTCTGGAGAAGACTGTGAAAGCTGATCCGCCAATTATTGCTGCGGATAACTATGAATCTGCTGTCTCGCTGGCGAACGATTTTGCCACCGCCGCCAGCGTCGGGGCTGCTCAAGCTCAGAGGAGAGATGCTGGCTCTCGGCGAGGCAGGCCACAGCAGAAGCAGGCCAAGCCACAGTAAGTTTTTGTCGTCAAGTCATCGTAGTGTTATTTATAACCGTACCAGGGACAACGCCATCATAACCCGAGGCACCGAAGCTATCTCCCTCATCTACCAACTCACCTCCCGCATACCCGAATTCATTTCCAAATCCCACCTCGAACGTAACGAGGCCTGGGCAACCTACTGGTCTCCCATTTTCCGCACCCTCTCCGCCCAGTGCGTCAACCTCTGCCGCGAAATCCGACACCAAGCCCTCTCCTACCTTCAACGTTGTCTACTCTCCCCCGAACTCATTTCCTACTCCTCGTCATCCTCAATACCATCAACGACCACCACTACCGACGGCGACAGGGAAGAAGCAGACCAGCAGCAGGATCAGCAAGAGGATACCGAATGGCTCGCCATCTTCACTGAAGTCCTCTTTCCACTGATCCGCCGCCTCCTCAAACCCGAAATTTACACCCTCGACCCCGCCGGCATGAGCGAGACGAGAACTCAAGCCGCTAGCCTTCTCTGCAAAGTATATCTATACTACCTCGTCCGTCTGGCCGAGAGGGGCAAGATGCTGGATGTTTGGCTTGGCGTGCTGGAGGTGCTGGATCGGCTGATGAATAGTGGACAGCAGCAGGCTCGGGAGCAGGGGAGAGCCGGGGCTGGCGGGGAAGGTGAGGGGCGAGTATGATTACGGCGGGTTATTGGAAGAGCAGATCCCGGAGAGTCTGAAGAACATCCTGCTCGTTATGGCGGATGCGGGATATTTGGTTCCGCCGGCATCGTCGCTGCCAAAAGCCAAGGCTGTGGGGACGGGGGGCGAGAATGAGAATGAGGGTGAGAGTGAGAAGCAGGAAAGGCAAGCAGACGAGGGCGAAGGGAGTGAGAAGATCTGGGAAGAAACGAGAAGGAGAGTGGAGAGGTTCCTGCCGGGTTTGTTTGCC